GTGACCTTGTTTTGATACAGACCTCACTGCTTTTGTTGTGTAAATCAAGTTGTTCTAATGCTAACTAGGTGCATTTACATGACAAAAGCAGAGAGGTCTTTATCAAAGCAAGGTCACCTCCAGCCTCGCTTTCATTCATGGGCCAGGTTACTGAGCACACAACTGTAAACTGTAAACATATGCACTCTCATTTTATTCTTCATTTGTAGAGTCAAGAAGATTAGCTGTGGGTTGAACTTGTTTTTGTAGAGGAAGGCAATGTCAGATAGTGTCTTACAATTTATGGAATGCTCAAATTTTAATAGCTACATTTTGAACTGAACGTGTCTGCTATTAACCACACCGAAACTTTGAGGAGACTGAATGTCAGCCCTCGGCGCTATGATTTCTGGGATCGTTTGTGTAACAAGTGTGAACCGTGATTGTTTAGTATTGTTTAATGTTTATTACAATTCATGGCGCTAAAATAATTACGTGTAAACACAATAATAAATTCCTAAGAAAAAGGCCAAGGAATAATCTGTAGAAGAGTCCACGACCCCATATAAAAACAGATCACCGAATTGGTTAGAAGTACATATTATATCTATATAAAACTGGATTTTTAAAAAAAATTTTTTTTTTTTTCAATTAACATTCAACAAAACACTGCTGAAAGTACTTACAATTTAAACTTCTACATACAAAATTAGTGCTAATACAATACTCGATAGTACACTGCATTCAATTCTTTTTTTTTTCACCTTATTAAAGCACAGACCAAAAATAATTTACAAGCACGCTACTAACGTTAATACTAAAAACTAACGCACACACACTACTAGCGCAAAGAACGTAACGCCAAGTTTCCGAATTACATTATATCGCTTAAGCCTTTAGGATACACTACACAGAAGAAAATGTAGAAAAAGTACAGAAATTCGAAAAAATAAAGAAATATGACACCTTAGCTTTCATTGTTGGAACATACAAAGGAAGAAAAGGGAAAAGGGAAAATTCTTCACGCATCGCGAATGCTGAGAGAGGTCCACTTAGCTTCGTATTTTCTGAAGTTTGAGTTTTTAATGGCCATTTGTCTTTCACATTTGATTTTATTTTCCAATAAGGGAATAAAGCCTTCAAGTTCGGAGATCTTTAAGTTCGGAAATCTGACTGATTTCTTGCGAGGAATATATGATATTTAGCGATGAGAAGATAATGATTTAACGTTAGAAAACTGGAATTAGAGTACTCATCACTCCATGAAAAAACTATTGGCTCTAGCCTTAAACATTTTTTCATTCATAGCACTACGAGTTTCTCTTGGAAAAAGATTCCAAGTGTCCGATATTCTGTGGATAAAACTGACTGATGGATGGCTCTTTTTATACTGTCTTTTAGGTTTATACAGCACTGTCCTCGATCTTCGGTGTGACGTCACGGCTGGAGTTGGTAACCCAGGCCGAGAAAACAGGTACACGGACATCATGAGAGGATCCTGCCAATATTACTTCGTATGGAAGTCCTTGTACGCATGTCCAAAGTGCCGGGAGGGTGACGTCACGAGGATTACTGGCGAATGCATCAACGGTACTCGCAATATAACCTACGTGCGTTCTGTGCTTTGCTGGACCAAGGACGGTGTTCCGCCGACTACAACAGAAGATTGCGTGATGCCAACTGTCACGGTCACGGTCAACGTCACGGTCAAGGTCCCGGTCAATGGAACAGTGGCTTATTTTAAGGAGACAAACAAAACCAATATGGCGTTGATTGGCGTGGGAGTTGTGGTCATTGTTGCTCTACTGGCTGTGGCTGGGTTCTTTGTGTACAAGCACCGTGAAATGAAATACCGGTATTACACGCTGATGGCAAGAAATAAGCCAATGAGCCGCCTGGAACAAGAAGATGACGAGAATCATTTTATCACGGAAGACGAACTAGCTGCACCGTATGATGAAATGTCACACAGTTTAAAGACCTAGGAAATAACAGGATTGTTTCACTAGCAGTGTTAAAGCTAGCATGATAGATGTAGGTTTGACGTAGTCTAACATTAGAACTTGCAACTGAACAGGGGAAAACGAATGCAAAATTCTGTGGAAACACTTGCAAACTGCATTTGACGAAAGCTTTAATTTTCTCGTGACCGAAATACGTTAGGATATGTTCCCAATTCGTGTTTAGGTTGTTTTGGGAAAAATTTTGCAAGCTGAAGTTTTGAACGAACACAATGGTCTTTCTATAGTGTTAAAAAAAATGGCGGGAAATAAGATCGATAGATCACAGTTAATTTTGCGCCATTTTCTCTGTATTCACTGCATGGGCATGTATTGAAAAAGGCGAGAAATTTATTGAATTTCTCGTTAAGTGCTCATTTCTGGTCTGCCCGTATCGTTTGGAGAGAAAAATGGCGGGAAATTTCATTTGTAGTCGGTTGTCTCTTCAGATATTTCTTACCGATTTTTGCATTGTTTTTAGTTCAAACTAGTAAAATGTAGCACGAGGTGTGTTTTGTAGGAATTTTTAATGCATTTTTTATTTAAACGCTTTTTAAATTGAAATTAAGGTTAACACATCACCAGTAGAAAGTGTCTAATAGGAGATATCCGTCAGCCAGCAAATCTGGGACTTAAGGAGCTCAGTCACGGTATTTTAAAGTACCTTTAAATTGAAGGAAACCTGAAAATAATAGCTTAATAAGATGCAAAACCACTTAAGAGATACTAATAAACCAGAAAGGAACAAGGATGGTTAAGGACGGAGAAGATTAACTTGGATAACAAACAACGAACTTGAAACCTGTAGGCTAGACATTGCGCAGACCGTGACGTAACTTCTTGAGCTCATGATGGAGTTATGGAGCTTATGCACATGACGTCATGGCAGCCTTATTGTTGTTCCAAAACAATGAAACGGCGGCCATGCTGGTTTACCAGACCAATTCTGTGGGAGTTCAACTCTTTTCTTATGTAAACACTTTCTTTTGTTCTAATAAATTTGCATGGCTGCTGGACACGTGAGTGAATACGCTCTATAGAGCAACATTTTACGGAAGAAACTTTATAGCCATTAAAATAAGAGTGAAACGTGATAAATGTGTTTAATGAAGTGCGAGTTATGTAGGTTTGATTTATTTTTTACGAAAAGTTGTTGTGCGTTATATAATGGGTGGCACTCCAGCACAAGATGGATAAGTTTGGTGGTAGCCTTTTAGTTGTATTAAGTGGCGTCATGTA